CTGCAGGCTGAACGATAGGAATCTATTAGTGTATGGCCAGCTTTAGAGTGAGGCAAACAATTAGGGGTGGGTTAAAGAGTTGTAATTTAAAAGCACAGTTGTCCATTAATAGAATACTATGGTAGTTCCATTTAATTATGGTTTTAATGTTAAAAATTCAAATACCTGCCAAAGCTGGTAAAGCTTTGTTCCATTCCCATGGCTGGTCATACTCATCAGCAGGCCGGTCATCATCCTGTGGTAATTTGCTCTCTCGCACTCTCAGACCAACAAGGCTTTCAGAATCTGACTCTACTCCATTGCACTCTGGCTCATACGGCGTGTCATAAAGCTGGATGTTTTTCTGGGGCAGCTTCTGACTCTCCTGTTTTTGAATATCTAAATAAAGAAAAAAACAAGTTAAAAAAAAAATTATAAACGATCATAACAATTTTCTTTTTAGTAAATTTTAAACCTGACCAGTATGCATAAAAAAATACATATTTAATTAATTTCTATCAATAAATCTCCTGCAGAAATACAGGGGCTGTCTCTACTTTTAAAGGATGCCATGCCAATACAATGGATTTACAAAAAATGGAGAGTGCAAGATCTGGTGCAGCTGTGCATGGTAGCCAATCAGCTTCTAACTTCAGCTTGTTCAATTAAGCTTTGACAAAAGAAAATGAAAGCTGATTGATTTCTATACAGAGCTGCACTAGATTTTACACTCTCCAGTTTTAATAAATCAACCTCTGAGTCACTGAACTGGAATCAATCTGCATTACAGGAGTTCTGACTTTTCTGGCTGCATGATTGCGCCTGATCAGTAACTGAAAGTACAGAAGCCAAATGAATCCAGTAATGAATACATCAGAAACAGTAGCTCCTGTTTTTCTCTGGGGACAGCCTTCTTGGACACACTGGGGTTACTTTACTAAAACTAAAACGTGCAAAATCTGGTGCATCTCTGCAAAGAAACCAATTAGCTTCCAGCTTTTTTTGGTCAAAGCTTAATTAAACAAGTTGAAGTTAGAGGCTGACTGGCTACCATTAACAATTGCACCAGATTTTGCACTCTCTAGCTTTAGTAAATCATGTCCAAAGTCTCAGCGGCCTGCTGTAGCTTAATAGAAGATTCCATTATTAGCTGAAGGCAGGATAGACCTACCTCTTCAGGGAAGCCTATCCTGCCTTCAGCTAGTAACAGAATCTTCTATTCCTCCTACAAGTCCATCACCCACAGTTATTACCTTTTGTACCACCAGTCCCTCCCTCTTAGATTGTAAGCTCCAAGGAGCAGGGCCCTCCTAACCCTCTTGTATTGAACTGTATTGTTGCTGTATTGTCTCCCGTTATATTGTAAAGCGCTGAGCAAACTGTTGGCGCTATATACCGTATTTTACACTCCATAAGACGCACTTTTTTCCCCCAAAAAAAGGGGGGAAAATGTTACTGCGTCTTATGGAGCGAATATGGAGTGGCCGGTCCGGTATTTCCACCGCCGCCGTGTCAGAATACCGGGCTGGCCGCTCAGCTCTGCAGCGGGACCTTATGGAGATGACTGCTGACCTTTGGGGAGGTGGGGAGCGGGTACCTGAATTTGACAGGTATCCGCTCTTACTTCTGCAGAGTTGTTCTTTGACCTTACCTGTTCCTCTATCCAGCGGCGCGCTGTCTTCCCGGCTTCTGTAGGGTGGGCGCTGGGTTTGACAGCCGGGTGCCAAGTGTGCATGCGCAAGAAGCGGTGCTTTTTGTGAATGGTAAGGTGGTACCTGGGACACATGACAGATCCCAGAAGCCGCCGGACCAATCACAAAGCGCAAGTGCTTCTCGCTCATGCGCACTGGGCACCCGGCTGTCATGCCGAGTGCCGACACTACAGAAGCCGGGAAGACAGCGCGCGGCTGGATAGAGGAACAGGTAAGATCAAAGAACAACTCGGCGGAAGTAAGAGCGGGTACCTGTCAAATTCAGGTATCCGTTCCCTCCCCCCCTCCCCAAAGGTCAGCAGTCATCTCCTGTACTGTCCGCAGTCTCTGGTCATCCCTGTACTGTCCGCAGTCTCTGGTCATCCCTGTGCTGTCCGCAGTCTCTGTCATCCCTGTGCTGTCCGCAGTCTCTGGTCATCCCTGTGCTGTCCACAGTCTCTGGTCATCTCCTGTAATATGTCTGCAGTCCATTAGTTCAGAATTTTTTTTTTTTTTCCGTTTTCTGCCTCTAAAACCTAGGTGCGTCTTATGGAGCGAAAAATATGGTAAATCCTGTATAATAATAGTGGTAACGGTGCAAGTTTAGTAAGTTTTAGCATGGGCATTGTCACCTTGAATCTGGCAGGGAGCAGATGGCCAGTCTGTCCAGAGATCAAAGACATGCTATGTATCTGGGTGCATTCAAGAAGATGAAATGAATTACTCAAGGACAACCCTGGAGCTTACAAAGCACCTCAGCATCACAGGGAGGAGAAAAAGTTTTCAAGCTAGTAGAGTGTATTAGCAAGCTTTCTCTATGGGGTCAATCAACCATTTCTAAATAGTTCACTGAACATGCAAACCCCATCTAAATTTAAAGACAAAAACATCAGCACAATTCAAGAAAAACAATAAAAAAAGGGAAAAAGTGTCAAAGCAATACGTTTTGCTCTTGCTTGTAGAACAGAGCTTTGACATGAATATATATGAACACTGTATGTGCAGCACATGGAGCAATTATTCGTATTATTCTCGATGGAAAAGCATGTGGAACAAACACCATTACAGTCATTCTCAATTAGCTGTACTGCAGTGAACAAGGCACATAGTGAAGTTTTATAATGAAGAATCATGTGTCTAATGAAAAATAAATGCGTTAAGTGCTTGTTGCTTCAATGTTTAAACACATATAGAGACATTCTATATAGCAGGCTCTTCCTATTGAAATTTTCATGACTTGTAATATAAAAGAAAGTACTGCCACCAAGCTAACACTCATTGTGTTGTATTGCATATGTATAGCAAATGTATGTTGTGTTGTATAGCATATAAAAACACTCTATGACTAAGCTTCACTAGGGATGAAAAGCATCAGTAGAGGAGCTGGAAGGAGTATCGGTGTTTGTGCTGGAACAATATATTTTGTTTTTAGCCTTGTGGGGAGTGATATGTGGCTTCATATTCTATTTTTAAGCAGTGTTTCTATTTGCGTTCATCCAAAGCCAGGTACAATGTGTAAAATATAAATTTTTTCTTCGATTTTAGTTGGCAAGAGTTCATACAGAGGGGAAGAAGAAGCCAATGATCATCTCTAATTCTCACAGCAGAAATGTTACATGGTTTAATATTATTACAAAGTAATTAAAAGATTGTTCGCCATCATTTTGGTTAGGCCCTAACCCAGCCTATCTGAACCTTTTCAACAAAAGAGAACCCTTAAAATAACTTTTCGGTCTCAAGGAACCCCTGCTAAAAGTTACTGTGTCTACAGATCATGATACACCAGTGGGATGTCCCTTACACTTGTGGTCTTTGGGAAGAATTATCCCCTACAGGTCACAATAAAAAAGATCAATGGTGTCAGTGGGAAGTATTCTGAAAGGCAGAAATTGCCAATTGCTCAAGGAACCCCTAGAAACCTTTGAAGGAACCTTAGTTGAGAAACCCTGCCCTGAACACACAAGAAGGTTTATAGTTGTTAAAGTAAAGTAGTAAACACTAGCCTAGTCAGAATTTACAAAGCGTGGAACAAGTTTCAAATAGCTTTCTTGAAGCTAAGATTTCATGGTAACTGTAACTAAGTGGGTATGGTTTCATCACGACAAAAATTAGGGGCCTAGTCAAAGAAAAAGGAAAATATGATCAGGAATCAATTCAGGAGGTTGCCACGCAGGAAATATGTGGTTGCCTCAGTGAATTTTTTTTTTTTTTTTTTTATTGAAGAGAGATGGTCTATGGGAGAGAACTATGCAGACTATCAATCATGAAATTTAGACTACATACTATCTCCAGGCAGCTTTTATATAATTAAAGGGAAGTGCAAAAGCGTAATGATGATGTACAAAATGTGCAGTAATGCAAAGAAAATGGACAGATTTCAGTTCACTTAAGTCAGACTAGATGAATCCTAATTGGTTATTTATCACTACACATTGCCCTTTGGCTCTCTGATGGCTGTGGTCTCATACAGTGTTTACATGGGTGCAAAAATCTTTTACGGTATCTGGCCGCACCTGTGTAGAATTTCCCCGTAGACAAGAATGGTGCTAAAATTCTACTGCTGACACTAAAGCCAGCCATACAAGGGTCGAAATCCAAAAGAATTTTCTTTACGAAAATCTTTTCTAAGAATTTTTGTTCGAATTTTGCACCATAAGTGGGTCACAGAAACGGCCGATTTTCGTGTGAGCGTCTAATTTGAGTGATCGGGCATGTTGGAAATTTTTTGAAAAACTAACGAATTTTGAATCAATGAAGGGTAGAATTGTGCGGGAAATATAAACGAAAAAGAAATGATCATGAGCTGTAACCTGGAAAGGAAAAAGAAATCTTGGCCAAGAAAATTATTTTCTGTAGCAACATGTGAAATTGAAGGCTTCGTTGGTTGAATTTTGAAATCAATGATGGCACCATCGAATTCCAAAATGCACGAAAATTCCGATTTTCTAAAGGAAACTGGGAATTTGACCCATGTATGACCTGCATAAGGGGTTGATTTACAAGAACTGAAGAGTGCATACTCTGGTGCAGCTCAACATGATAGCCAATCAGCTTCTAACTTCAGCTTGTTCAATTACTCATTGACGAAAAAAACTGGAAGCTGATTGGTTTCTATGCAGAGTGTATGGCCCCATTTAAGTCAATAGGAGTTGCAAAGGAATGGACAGTGCCTGCGGGTTTTCAAGACTAGAAGGAAGGTATGCACTGGTTTTTATTCTAGTGTATATTAGTTTAACCGCCTCCCGAACGCCATATAAGGAAATGACGGGCGCAAGGCGGTTCTCACGTTCTGGGAGGGCGTCATATGACGTCCTCCCATTCTAACCGATCATGGCCCTTGGACACAGTGGATCACCGATCAACAGCAAGAGCCGGAGACGTCGGCTCTGTCATGTGATCAGCTGTGTCAAATCACAGCTGCTCGCATGTAAATAAGGAAATGCCGGTTATCAGCATTTCTCTCCTCACAAGCTGTCACTATGACAGCTCGTGAGGAGAGGAGAGACGGTAATCGGCATTCCTCAGAGAGGACATCTACACTGATCATCAGGGCACTGATGATCAGTGTAGCCCCATCAGTGCCACCTGTCAATATCCATCAATGCCACCTGTCAGTGCTCATCAGTGCCACATCAATGTCACATATCTGTGCCTACCAGTGCACATCAATGCCATATATCAGTGCCCATCTGAGCTGCCTTTCAGTGCCACCTATCAATGCTGCCAGTCAGTGCCACCTACCAGTGTCAGTCAGTGCCGCCTATCGGTGTGCATCAGCACCACCTATTAGTGCGCATCAATGCCGCTTAACAGTGGCGCTTCTCAGTGCCAGTCAGTGCCACCAGTCAGTGCCATATAAGAGTGCTGCATTTCAGTGCCCATCAGTGATGCCTGTCAATGCCCATCAGTGCCACCTACCAGTGCCTCCTCATCAGTGCCGCCTATCAGTGCCCATCATTGCAGCCTCATTAGCGCACATCAGTGAAGGAGAAAAATCACTTATTTACAAAATTTTATAACAGAAACTAATAAAAAAACATTTTTTTTCAAAATTTTCAGTTGTTTTTGGTTTAGCAAAAAATAAAAAACCTAGAGGTGATTAAATACCACCAAAAGAAAGCTATTTCTATGAAAAAAAAATATATAAACATTTCATATAGGTACAGTGTAGCATGATTGCGCAATTGTCATTCATATTGTGACAGCACTGAAAGCTGAAAAAAGGCCTGGGCAGGAAGGGGGTATAAGTGACCTGTAGGCAAGCGGTTAAAAGGGCTAGGGAGGATTTTTTCTTTCATTCTTTTTTTGTTATACTTTAAATAAGGTCAGTCTGTAAGTTCACCAAACGACGCTCATATGCCTGTGAAGAAAATAAAACTAATGCAACTCATTTACAATACACAATTTTTATTTTATTTTTTTGCAAACCTCTCCCACAGCTTTCAGATTAACATTTATTTAATCCATTAAAAAACTCAAAAGAGATAAAATAAATTAGTTTCATCACAACATGTCAGCTAACATCATGAATCCACAATAAGGCATAAAGTATACAAAGGATGTCACATAAAAATAAAAAAAAAAAAAAAAAAAAAAAAAAAGGTAAATATGCATGAAGCACAATGGAAAAATAAGATGGCTAAGATCAATTGACTAATGGCAATCCTTTTATATAAATAGTTGGAAGGCGGAAAATCTTTGTAGTGAAGCACTCTCTGCATTTTAAATTGCTACTGCACTTTAAAACAACCCTTTTGGACAAGACAATACGAGTTTTAAAGGAGCTTAAATCACTTTATGCTGAAGGCCGTCTATGAGGATTAAACGTCTCTGCTCCTTTCAGGGCATGCATAAAAAAAAAAAAAAAAAAAAACACCTTTATCAACACTACGTTCAACAAAAGACAACTGGAGGTTTTCTGAGAGCATTTAGAGGGTCAATGAAAGATTGCTGTGGGCCCGCAGCTTATGGATGCAAGATGGGGCTCACAGTGTCCCTGCTGTGCTCTTTAATGCATCTTGGCAACCATTAACCGAAAAGTCTTAAATTAACACCTTGCTTCTTCAGAAAGAATGTGAAGAGAAGCCATGGTGCTCACACGGATTTAATCTTAGAAGCCCCCTGAATGTTCATGTAATAAGCAGAGCATAGCACAGAAATATGTCAGGTCTTGCGCTTATTCTTTTCAAAGTTTTTTTTTTTTTTTTGCTTCATTTGCAAAAGCACCATTTCTAACATGCGCTCTTTGCCCCCTGCGCAGGCTTTACTTCCTTAAAGGATTGTTTTTACCAACCAACAGGGCTCAATAAAGCTTATACAAATCCCTGGCTCTACTCCAATGCTAAAGAGATAAGGACAGTTAAATAACAGTCTGGCCAAATTCTGGTTTCCATTCACTGATTTCTGGTAACAGATCCTGCCACTAAGCCACTGCATTAACAAGCCTTTATAGATTTAAAAGCTTGTCACATAAAAAAAGTGTGCCAAATGAACGGCTTTTTAGTAAGTTGAACCACCATGTTGTGAGATGTATGATGTGGCAGAAAAAGTTACATTACAGACTAGTTTCCTAGCTTGGAATTGGCTGTGTAAAAAAATAGTCATTTTGAAAAATAGTCTTTTAGATCTAAATATACTGGAACCAAACCACACAACTTTTTTAATGAAACAGATGGACACTTTATAAAACAAATGTTGTAGGCAGAAGACACACCTCTACTGCACCTACAACTAAGAATTAATGGGAATCAATTGACTGCTAAAATTTGAATAATATATTTTGCATACTTACATTGGGTCCACCTGGCACAATGTAAGTATCCATATGTGATACCAAATCAGACTCTGTGGAAGTTATAAATCACTACTTGCTTCTAAATGGGCTTGTTGGACACATTTCTAGACAACTGAAGAGTTCGCTCTCTTGATTGACAAACCTTCTCCCCAATAAAGACATTGGCGTCCACCTATGAGATCCCCCATATATACCCGGTTTTCTCCAGGCTATTCATCTTTGAGGATGGGCTTGGGCGTTGGGAACTTACCCGGCTGTGCTCCTTCCCCTTCGGGTCATGGCCTTCTATGGTGTGGTGGGGGATGGAGGGGCGCGACCCTTCGGCGCCCAACGGAGAGGGTGGGAGACAAATGCTACCCCCCTCTGTCATCCTTCCTTGATATCTTAAGCTGCTTCACTTGATACCCATCTTTCCCCTTTCCCCCCTCCCCTATCCCTCCCCCCCCCTTTTTTTTCCCCCTCTTCTTTTCCCTTTCTCTTGCTGGGACGGTGCTTCCAGCACGCTAAAATTAACATTTTCATATCTGACTTAGAATCACAATAACAGCAAATTTACCTCAATGTAACTTCTCCACACCCCACCGTTCCAAAATTACCTATATGTCAATGATTCCATGTTTCGGTCTATCATGAATCTACATGCGATATTGACAATATGTTCTCATAACCATATTCACTCAACACCTCTTCATTTCTCATCCTTCTAGACTCTCCTCTTAGTTCTCTAAGTTTTTGTATGGGGTCCACCCCCTCATTCTTATGCTATGTTTTTGTCTGACTTACTCCCGTTATAAGGCTAGATGCTCCTAGCAAATCTCTGTTTTCATACATCCCATGTCTTTGTCTATGTTTCTGTTTTTCACTGCTCAATAAATCTTTATTGGAAAAAAAATAAATCACTGTAGTAGCATAAGCTACTACAGAGATAACAGCAGTCTTCCAGGTGACACACTGAGCACCTGAACTTACAAGGGAGAAGAAAGATCTCAGCTGCTGTGAAAATGACTTAAAGTGGAAATATACTAACCTGCGATCCATCCACTGTTATCTTCAGCCAGATCAGCTTCAGGGTACCAATCTTTGTTCATTTTCACTGGCCCAGCAGAGATGGCATCACTCCCACATATGCACAGGAGTTCATTCATCTCAGCAATTTATACACAGAGCTGCACATGCGCAGCTTAGGGTACACGGCACACAGGCAGGTAAAGAACTTGAAAGAGGTTTAGACATCAAATGTCTCTTCTGCATTAAAAAAACCCCATCTGTTTGCAAATTTTTTTTTTCCAGGTTAAATTTCAACTTTGAGCAACTTCAGTGCACCTATCATAAACTTTGAGGATGAATTGCTCCACTGTGCCTGCGGTTATAGAAGTCAGGATTGTTTTAAAAGTGTATGTATAACTGAATTTTTTTTCAGTTTTGGGTAGAGTAGAGGAGGGTTGAAACCTGTGGGGTTTTTTTGTATTGCTGCCTGTTGCTACTGGGTAGATTCATCCTCTCGATTTATCCAGCTGACCATTTTCATGGAATCAGAAAGTCATGGGAATCCAAAATTTTACAGCTGTCACCAGAACAAGATTGGAGGATACATCTTCCAATAGGGACACTTGTTGTGTTTCTGTATAACTGCTTAACTTGGGATTTCCCCTCACTTTGTTGAGATATTCTCTTACTGCCTGCTGCATCCCTAAGACAGGAAGTGAAGGGAAACTTATGCAGAAAATAGAAAATTTAACTCCCCCAACCCATACCAAAACCAAGAAACAAACAGTTAATCAGTTTTGGCTATACATACATGACGTGTTACCAGGTAGACAAAAAGGGAGACCAGAAAATGTCTTTTTGCTAATCTCCCCTTGCTTATAAGAACCCTGAAGCAACCAGGATTATGTTGTGGCCAGGGAAGAAGCAAATGGAGCATGCTCTGCTTCAGTGAGTGGCAGGGGAGACATCAGGGGTCTAACAGACCCCTAATATCTCTGTAAAGAAAACCTGTCAGAGCAAAATGCTATGACATGGGGGGTTGACAGGTCCCTATGTGATAGCAAAAAAGTTGAGTGAAAAAACAGAAAAAGTTTAAAAAAGGTAAAAAATTATACCCACGCATTTATTGACCTACAAAAATGTAAAGCTCCCCTCCACATACAAATGTAAACGTGTATGTTGGGGGCACCTATGGACAAAAACATTGACTGCACTTCACATGTTCCATATTGCCATGTTTACCGAAGTGAGAGCAATAATTCTACAGTAATTCTTAATGTTTAACAAAAAAAAGAGGATATATATATATATATATATATATATATATATATATATATATCTTGTGTGCTCTAAAATGTACTTTTTTGTATTTTTTACTGAAAATATGCAATGCATTTGATAAATGTGTACTTATCATATGTTCTTGCTACAATTTTATTCTGCAGGGTCTCACCTTTTGGAGAATTTATACCGTTTTGGGGTCTTAACCAACTCAGGCCTACAATCTGCATTTTATTGTGTGAAAATAGTACATAAAAGGCTCTGGCAGCAAAAGGGTTATCACTCATTTACTGGTGTTGAAGAATATATAAATACTTCAATGGCCATAGCCTGGCCACAAGTTCCGAATTCCACTGTTTAAAAGAGGAGATATCCCCCCTGCAAGCAACTTCACTTACCTCCTACATTTCTGACAGCCTTCCTTTATAATTAATTGCATTATTGTATTTCACAATTTGGAGCTGCATTAATAGATATGCCTATCTCCACTGAATGGAGAGGCCTTTTTTAGTAAAGACATGACTTTTCAGGATGACAAGGTTGCTGCTTCTATAACAGTCGTCACAACGGCTGTCGGGTGGAATAACACTTCTTCTTCAGAGTTTAACTAATCAGGGATATGCAGTTCTCCTACTGGTGTCCTTTGGAAGAATGCTCTCTAATGTCCTGATTTAGATGGCTGTGCTCTCTCACATTAGATTTTAAAATATTTAATGGCTTTGTTACATTTATTTAGATATTTATATAGCACTGACAATTTGTGCAACACTTTACATAATGTACACTTCAGTCC